AGAAAGTGTATGGGGAGTAGTACTCCTCACGATGGACCACATTGTACAGGTTTCTAGTTGAAAATTCCTTGATAAGGGCATAAGGAGCAGTGTTACTCACATCCGATCCCGCCCAATGCTGATGTCGGTCTTCCGCTCGTTTGTGTGCTCCCTAGCCTCCCCTTTCTAGTCCTCAAACAAATCTTCCTCCTCCTATAGAACTCACGGCAACGAGTGAGGAATTTTCTACTACTACGTTTCCGACGGTTTCCTCTGTTTTTTTTTCCTCAGAGGTCATTCAGGTGACATGACCACTTGTATTGATCGTATTGATTAGCTAAAAAGCGTAGTCTGCACGGATCTCACTTCAAGTGTTCGATAATTGCCTGAATTCGCCGTATAGATCGAACTGGCTATGGGTCGATGTATCATCTGTTGAGTCCAATATGGCTGTGGTGAACTATTATCATACAGATTTGACATCTCGTCCATACCTGAAAAGAAGTACAGTAGTAAATTGTGAGAAAGGTGGGGAACAGAAACTAGAAATCGCGGCCATTATTTACCAAAATTATACTATACTATCTGTTTACCGAAACTATTCTATATTATCTATCTGGTTCACCGAAAGCAGGAAGTCCCCTTTATTGGAGGGTAGAGGGGTGAGTTTGTCGGGCGATGTGGAGAATCCATACAGAAATTTCAGTTTGGTGTAGACCCTAGCGGTAACTCAAACAGGTATCCGCAATGGTGGGGCATAACCGGAAACGCTTCAGCTATTTTGTGCGATTACTGCAGTCAGTTGACAGTTCAGTTGGGCTGTCTAACTTCCACTAAAGTTTGGAAAGTTCACTTGGTAAACCATCTCCGGTCATTCCGTCGACTATATGAGCAGGGCACATCATCGCTGGGATCCCACAGGGAATACGTATTTTGTCCTGGAGTACGGGATGGGTATGTAATTTGGTCTGAGAAAATTGTTTGATACCTTGATTTTATTTTATTTCTTAGGGGCTCTCGAGAAGGTCGTATCGCGCGGTTGATGGGAGCTAGGGGGAGGTCGTAATTAAATTTGTACCTTTGAGACAGGCTTACGCGGCTTTTCTGTTTTTCTGTTATGTGTACTAACGTATACCCCTCTCCATCCCCCTCCCTCTCTACCCTACCCCCCCCCGCCCAGGTCGAGAGCATCGTTTGAAGGGAACCAAGAACAGAGTCGCTGCCAACATAAAAAAGGGGTCGTACGGACTCGACCAAAATGCCCAAGTGATGAACTGATGATGTATCCTGTATGTGAGATAGTCCCTTATCGTAAGAATGTGCCCTGTCGTAGATTTCCGACACATGTTTAGCTCTGGATCCGTCTAATCCTATGACGTAAACCTCAGATAAGTACCCGTAGAGTTTGGCGGATAGTTTACTCAGCGGGGCTAGCCCAGCGGTGTGGAAAGAACCCCTTGAAATTCACTGAACACGCATATCCATTGCGTTCGGTTCTCTGCGTGTGGTTGAGCACGGATTAGCCGCGTTAAAATGTGATTGATTACCTCGTTGTGCTCGTTGAATGTTGCTACGATCAAGTGTGGCGATACCCATTGGATACTTTTGATGAAACATCGAATTGTTCAAAATGATCGGCGACCTTAAATAAACTGATTAGTTGAATGGAACTGTACAGGAACAAAAGGTTACTGTAGGTATTTAGATAAGCCGTTTAGGTGGAAGTCGAAGAATCATTTTTTACAAGTTATTCTACACTTTTTCAGCTCGAAACTTATGCTCTTTCTTCAACGACAGTCCCGTTCTACTTTGCGGACGCATGTTCCCTACAAAATCCACAAAATATATTTCCTCATAGCCCGTCTAGACGACATCATGACGAGCGCTTCATAATAGGAAACAACGGGATTTTTCTTTCGATTTTCTGTAAATACTTTTGGAGAATAATCCAATAAAGTTCCGTTTTTGATACCTTTCACTGGAGTGTAGTTGCGTAGAAGCCCCTATGAGAAATCCTCGCTGCACCCAAGATTACACAAATGATATGTTTTTGGTCACCCATTCTTGGAGCTCAATAAGTCCCTTATATTCCGTGAAATACATGGCGCATCTCAAACAGGGCTCCGTCATACCTGAATCGTGACCACACAGACGTAATGTACGTCGAGGGCCACTCAGCTACAAGGCTAAACCACTACGTGGCAAACTTACTTTGATCCTGAAGATGCCACGTAATACTCTCTTGGGGCAAAGAGGTAGAATTTACCTATTTCCTTGGAATGGAACAATGAACTCGCTTCAGGACTTGCCAAGCTTCCCTGGTGTAGACGAGCAGACATGACGTAACTTAGCGAGTGGGCCCTCGCAAAGAATATAACGCCTTCCTTCACCTTTTAACGTTCTATGGAACCGTTTTTGCCCTGAGCTCTCTTGTCCATGAGAAATCCATGCATCTTTCTCCATGGTGGAATCGTAGCTATTCCCATAGTGGCCCCTACATCCTAATTTGTGAAAGCAACAGGATCGGGGCCATTGTCGGCTGACTGTCATAAGGTGCTCATGGCAACACCATACAAGGCTCTCGACAGGGGGATCCTGTAGCAGCGACGTGGCTCACTTGGAAGCACCATGCAGGTGGTTCACCACCCTTCCCGATCAACCGCTTGACGGCGTTTTCGGAGAAATTTTAAACAAGTGGTCTGTCACTTGTGAATGGGAGACCCATTGGAGCAGAAAATCGGGGGACGAACCCAGCGAAAGTTCTCCTAAACGCCAGCACGTACCCTGGTGGCTAGGTGTCGTTACAAGCGGAATCAGGTGCGCAGCATTTGCACTAGGACTTAATCGATGGATTAGCGATGAAGCACAATACTGTATCAAGTCAGCTGGCGAGGAAAAACTAGCTTTTCTTGTTTATCGCCGTGGAGCTCCTGACCATCACCCAAAGTCATGAAAGTCATAAACCCGTGCAATGACGTAGATAGTACGCATAAAATTGTTCACAGTATCGCAGTATATTGAAAAAGTAAGAAGTAACTTCCGGCAAAACAAAAGCAAAATCAGCTTACTCACAAGAAATTACGCTATTTCAAGCCTGAAAATTTCCAGCACCTCCCCTCTCCCCTTGATTCAGTCAACTGATGAGAATTTTTGACTTCTAGGGTGGTTAAAGAACAACAGTTCAGAACTTTGTAGTATAATGACAACAATAATTTCACCTAGTGGTAAGTTGGAGCTTTAGTTCGCTAAACTTGTAACTAACCTAGTTTTCTCGATAGTGTATTCCTGACTGAACTGATGGGCACTTCCTGGGTATTCGGCCGGTGCCACCGGCGGTGGAATTCGTGGAGGTGGTGGCGGCTTAGTTGACAGGCATTTAGGTGAAGATGGCTGAAAATAACTCAAGCTTATTTTAAATGGTATATTCTCCGCTTCCCTTCTCTCCTTTTTTCTAAGATAGTCAGCTTTGCGGGTTTTTTTTGGTTTTTCAGTGGAACCGTTTATTTTTGACCAGGCATTTCGACGCCGTGAGGAAAGGCGGTTGCTTCGGAACATCAGGACAAAAACGAGCGGTTCTACCCAAACCCTCGAAAGGCGGAGTAGTACTGTCTCAATTTCTAATTTGTGGAACGACTAAAGTGTAGCATTCTTTCAGCAAAACCAATGGCATTGCGTCTGCGGCACCGACCCTACGTCGATCGATAAATCGATTTGTGTGATCTATAAAGTGCCAAAAGTACCTCCTTGATTGCATCGCAGCCATGCAATAGCTCCAATAACCAAACCGACGAAAACCACGGCGATAGGAATAACAAAATACCAGAAGTTGTCCATTCCAAGACTAATTGAGCCGAAATCGTAGGCTAAATCACAGAAACTACTTATACTTCTGGCACAAAAATCGATACATCGATTTGCAAAAATTCACCAGCCACGACATTCAATTGAGCGGCTTTGTAGACGATATGTCCTTGTGTGCTCGTGACAACGCAGATGTATCGGCCTGCGTGTTCCTTTGTTACCTGAACGTTAATGATTGATTGATTTTATCTGAAGGTGAAAGAATTTTTGCGAAATGGGCTTACCATTGGGATAACAAGGCGATTCGTGTACAAATGATCAGGTCCTTCTCGAGAAACTGATTCAACTTGGGTCTGCTCAAGTACCAACAGATGCATACCGCTAGCGTTCACTATCGTAGCATTTGGGATCACGACGGCGTACCGCAACCGGGTCATCGACTTCTTTGAGCCACTAAAACAAAACCACAATTCATTTTGTAGAATAAGTTAAAGCTGACCTCAGCCGTGCCCTCGCTGACTAGACTAACCTTTATCAATGGGCTCTGGGCGGATTTTGCCTTACACAGGAATTGTGCTGTATGACCAACTCTCACTGTGGTATTATACGGCTGGTCAATTATCGGTTCAGGCATCTGGTCCTAAAAATCAGAAACTTGCAGATCCACTTGATTAGCCCAGAAGTTCAAGGGCTTCACTCACAGTTGGGCCATCAAGTACTCCTAGCCGCTTGCCGTCATCGAAAAAGTCGCCAACGGTCACTTTGAAGATTGCTTCGATAGAACCGAGACGATTTTCAAGAACGCAGCGATAATCCCCAGAATCATCCAGTCCAGCTGGATCCACAACAAACGAAGCGATATGGGGTGGAGAGTCTGAAAAGTTAAGTTGAAATTACTGCAGACATTAACTGGGAAGTTCTGAGATGTCGGAAATCGGAAATGGAATATCAGAATGCCCTACATAACATACATTGGAAAAAGCACCAGGAGTGTGAGCACGAAAAATTGAGTTCAAAACGAAAATTAGAACGGGTTCAAGTAACAATCACTCCTACACGGCTAGATACCAGTTCTGACAGGTTTTCGGAAATCGGAAGGTGACACTATGAAGACCAAAACTTCGGCCGAACGCGGAAGTTAGCTCGATCTCATCGGAGTGCGATGATTTCATAAGTTGCGGTCGGGGAATTGGTCATCTTCAGTTATGAAACTAGTTGACATATTACTCACCAGTAGTGATACGTATGTTATTCTTGTACCATCGAATTTCCGGCAAAGGATTACCCCGCGCTGGACATCGCAGTTCCATACGACCTCCTCGATTAATTTGCATAGGAGAGGACCAATCGAGGTTCATGTCGATCAGCCACGCCGGAGCAGATGCTGTAACGCCAAAGTGCACTGTACTAGTAGATACGGTAATGGAACATTGAAATCGAGGTCTTTGTTCTAAGATTTTTTTGGGACATAGAGGTTGTCTTGCAGAGGAGAATACTATTTCGAAAATCCAAAAAAAGGTAATTTTTTGCATACAACCATTATTCTGAATCTCAGAGGTGGCAGAGGTGCTTTTATGCAGAACCACCAACTACTTTTTTGGAAATCGCCATTTTAGGAGAGTTTCTGGGACAAACTTACTTGAATCAGCGAGAACTATTACGTCTTTCAAGGATACCGAGTCTTCTGATGGATCTGGAAATGATCAGTGTAGCAGTACTCTTGAAGATACTCAATATTACTGCTTACCGTATACGTGTACTGTAAAATCCACCGTCCGATGACCAAAACCGTTCGTTGCTTGACACTGATATCTACCGCTATCGTCAAGTCTGACCGTTTTCATGCGAAGTTCACGATCATCTTTCGCAAGCTTGTATCGCGAATCCCATTCCACCTGAATGTACGAGCTCAGAAGTGCGAAAATGAAGCGTCAACTGCTGGCTAGAAGCTTTGATGGCCATATACATGGCTTTGATTCGAATCGGCATTCACTGTGCCACTCAGCCGAGCTTAAGTAACAGGGTAGCTGACCTCCGGGAGCGATTGGAGGGCCTGAGTAGCCACAAACGGGAAAGAGCACAAGATTTATTATAGGCCGTACTACCTGTCAGGGCTCACATTGCTGGCCGGACCGTTCCCAGAAACACCCTTCGGCTCATTGACTCTGTATTGTCCACAGTCAAGGGCTCTCTCACAGCGACCAGAGGTGATACCTGGACCCAGAGTCCATTATTTCATATAATTTCTGCATTTCTTACATCCCCAGATGGTATTGGATCTGCAGCCCTGAGCTCTGCCACATGACACTCTGCCACGCTAGTCCCTCAATATGGCGCGAGTTTAGGGTTCCAGATCCTCAAGGTGGGTGGGCAAGACATCTAAGGGGCAGAGGGCATGTAAAGGACCTATTGTGCAACTCTGGAATGGATTCGGCGCAAAATCCTCTTTCTGCACAACGTAGTCGGTTCACCCAGTTGGAGCTCCTTCATTCCTAGGCCTTATGCGAATATTCCTCGTTTCTACTGCGCTAATCCCAATTTTTCGGGACGAAGACCCTTTTCATGCCCCCCACTTGACGCACTGGCAGCCAAAGAGTCTCCCGCCAAAAAGTTCGCGCTGAAATTGAACGCGATTTGGTTAATGTGCTCAGATGAATGGGATCATCCTACATGTGCAAATCCCTTGAGAGAATGCCGCAAAAACTTATGAGCGCCCTCATAACACTCGCGACCCCCCTCAACGACAGCTATTTGTCAGGGAGAAATTAGAAGGTTTAAGAGGGAGTACTGGTTGAACTCATCAGTTACCGAATATCTGGGCAACAAATGGACGAGTTATCATAAGAATTCTGAGTTAGAGGCAAGGGTCTTGACCCCAGGCTGGACTTGAATCCGCACTAACACGTTCCGAGCGAGTACGCTACACGTTACATACGAGTTGTCCTTACCCTCTTAGCTTGACAGCGGGTGATGATAAAACAACTTCGCAAATGGACGAGTTTTCACTTGACAAATGGCCTAATCTCCATGTTGAATGTGCCTATTCTTGTCTATGCATTATGCAGACTGAAGCCACATCCATACTCCTGAGTGCGATTGTGAGTGATTGTGACAATTAGGTGTTGTGTGGCGAGGAAAGCCCCTTGAGGCGAATGTCTATAATGGCGTGCTAGTGTGTTTGCCGAACTGTAGGCACATCATTCTGCACAATGATGATATACATTCCTGGTCGTAAACTGCCCAGAAACAATCCAAAGGAACAAAACACAGCCACAGCCTACTCTACTAATGGAATAGGGAAAAATATTTCATTTCAAAAATGACTTGGTCCGGGGGGGCATTATGCACTTTCGCCTTTTCTCATCGTGGTGTTCTACAAGAGCTGACAAGTTACTTTGTGAACTTGGAACTGCGTTATTTCAGCTCCGCGAGATTTTCACAGACCTCTACTTGATGGCTCGACACAACAATGCGATGTAGCGAAAGTGCTAAATGCCCCTCCCAACCCGAACTGCTCCAATTATTCCAATCAATTACCTGTTCTCCATTCTTTGTCCATTGTATCATCAACATATCTTTATCGTTGGCAATTACCGGGCATACCAGTTTGAATTGCTTCTGACCTAATGGTATACGAAACTTTCGCTCCACATCTAATACCATTTTGGGAGGGGCTGAAAAACGAGAGTATTGACTGTAAAAATTGCACTTATTCTTCTGATTTTTGCTCGGTCTTGAATATTTAGAAAGGCAGCCCTGCTAATTTTTCTGCTGAATATGGCCCGATTGGCCTTCCACTTTTTGTTATGCCCGAAATGAGATCATATAAAGAGGTGTAGTGCAGAAACAGGGGCACATCCATTGGCTGCGTAATTTTGGTTCAAGTCCGTACCTACCCCCCCCTTTTTTTCAGAAGGGTTTGGTACGACCGGTTTCCACCTCATCATCAAGATCTGTCGATATTAACCCGTATTATTCCCCCCCCTCTCTACCGTTTGCAACCAATCCCCACTTTCCTGCAGGTTTCCCCGAGTTTCCCGAAGACTTTCTTACTTTTGCCTAAAAATTTCGCTGTCGAGCGGGAGTATATACTACACATGAAACAGGAAAAACCACGAAAAGTCAGTAACCTGGTCAGAAGGGAAATATGACCCTCCCTCCCAACAACGAGCAAACTATTCCTCCCCCCCCCGTTTAAAACGTCCCTAAAACAAAAAAAATCAACGATGTGCCCTGAGTGCAGAATCCCTGTCATGATGTACATATTCGATGCGCTATGTGCATAGACCGCAGGCCAGTTGCTATTTCCGTATTAAATTTGGATGCAAATTGGAGACGCCCCGAGTAGAGTGAGATGATGAAGAGCGGCTGAGGGTGGAGGGGAGCTGGGAGGGGAAGTGAGCCAGTGCAGCGTTGTAGCTTGTCGTGAGCGTGAAGCTTATCGTCGTATATCTGGACACCCGATTAGCGCATCCAATCATCCATAATATTCAATCACTTGCTAGTGTAGTCTGAACGACTTTTTGCTCGGAAACTGACTAATCCCGGGGGAAAATTCCGAAGAAATTCTGACATTCACTGGCACTCACTTTAGCTGATCACATCGTAAAAGTGCAACGTTGAAGTGTATTGAACCTGTCACACTAGAAAGCCAAAACAAATCCCGTATTGGTGACGGCACATTCGAGTGTTTTTTAATTCGGGCCAGGCCACATCGCCGTCCTGATAGGAAAGCGGTTTATAGGGCTTTTCGCTAAGCTTATCAGCAAACGATGCAATCAGTCGACTAAGAAAACCCTTCTTTCGACCATCACAAATGAGAAATCAAAAGTTTTTTTGGTTTCTTTTGCTTAGCTGCGTCATGTCGAGCTCAATCTACCATCTGCTGCCGCTCCCACGTCCTCATACGCCATCTAGTGGACAGCGATTCGATTCCGAGGCCTGATACCGGTTATGGCGCAACCAATCGGACGGAATATCCCCCCACCCGGTCGTGCTAATCACTGTGCCTCCGGAAATCCCCTCTCACAGTGCTTATCTCCGACACTTGTGATGGCTTAGGATTTCCGAGCACAGCCATTGGCAACGTCTTGCGCAATATTCATAGATAGGCCTGGGAACTTCCCCTCAAAAGTCACTAGTACAAAGTGTGAAGGATTCTGGTATTGCTGTTGAATACTCGAAGCGTGTCTGGCCATTAACTCGATGACCTGACGAGGCTATTCAATTTCATGATGGATTCATATCGCACAGGTGCCGGAGAGACCAGGTACAGCCCCATATAATCCTCTCAAGAGATGTGGCAGCAGAGATAGAGGGGAGAGTTCGGATTACAATCGCGCGAGGTCAGCACCCCCACCGACCTGCTCACACTCGCTGTCTCTCAGTGTCACATACAGGATGTAATAAATGTTCACCTGAGCAGTATGTGGTCCCTAGGGCTAGCAGAGAAGTGCGAATTGCGCTGTGAAATGTTCACATGGAGTGGAGTTCTATTACGCCTTATTAAGTAGGGCGAGCCGTTATGATGAAACGAAGATTGGCGTGGTGGAGTGCAATTACGGCAACCAGGCGAAACAGGAAACATGTCCAGCAACATATGTACTATGCAAGAGAGTTCCGTGCAATGCTATCAGTGCTATAAGCAACCGCTATTTCTACGGCTCAGGACCGTTGCGAGGGAAAAGAAGGGCAAATCCCGTGTTTTATGGCCTGTGGTTCACCAGTGGTTCACCAACATTTAGACTATAACTTCCGCCCATCACCACCCTTGTCCTTCAACTAATCTGAAACGAAGACGATGAGTAATTGCCTAATTTTTCGGGCAATTTATCAGTGATCGTTTGTTGCTTAGCACTTCGAATATTGATAAGGAACACGATAAAAACGTGCCAAGCAACAGCTGATCGGGCTGAACGACGTCTAGTCGGGCGGATTCTTCAGAATAAACAGTTCACCCAATCTCAACGAAACACAGCTGGCAGGCTCGCAGAAGCTCCAAGGCTAATTGCTTTTGGTGCTAGATAGACGATGTAACCGGAGACCATGTACCAACCACCACTACGGGGGGAATCGCCATCCCCGACCTTGTCAGTCCGCGAATCTGAGCCGTTTTCTGCGGATCCATTCTATGATGAGCCGTATTGATCGTGATATAGAGATTACGGTAGGATTGGATGAGTGAATTCAGTATATACAATTGTCCATGAGGACATCGGCGTATCATTGATGATGATCGCGGTACGGTAAGTGCATGTCAACGTCGCGATACCTGAGAGGGGTTGTCATTAGAGGAAAGGATGCCATACGGAGATAGTGAAGGTGACTACGATACTCATGACATCAAGGTTAACATGCTTGCCAAGTTCTTCCCGACAAGGTAACCACAGTCATGATCCATCAGTTTTCGCAGAATTGAGGCCTAATGAGTCAAGAGAAGCCCCAGCTCCCTAGCAGGTCAAGAGGGCTATGTCTGGCAGATAGAAGGCAGAAGAAGGGCGCTAAAGTTGATTGCAAGAGGTTTTTAAGGCCAATTAATATGAGAAAGGAATATGTCATCCCCGTTTATGAAGTCAAATCACAACATGTCTCATCTATGCCTTGGGGACATATATGCTAATTACGGACTACGTCTGCAATTATACGCCTTTTGTCGTATCCAAGTGTGCTAGTCGTTAATTGCAAATGTGAATTAAGTGTTCTGGTCGCTTGGCTGGCCGACCGCCTGCTGCTGCTGCTGCTGTCATGTCAACTCAATCTGTGAGGTTTAATTGTTTCTGGTGGTGGTGGTGATGATGATTAGAGAAGCGGCGTGTGATCACGTGTCCCCCCTTATACCTCTCTACCTCTCATCAGAAATCGGATTCATTCTCAGCACTGACGGGCGAATTTTATGCTAATTTAACCGCTTGTGCATGGTGTCTTTTGATGCCATCGACAGCTCCATTTCCATTCTAAATACGGTGGGATCAAAACGTCACTCAAATCGCGCGTTGCGACTAAATTCGAACGCAACGCGACGCGACAACGCGAAATGTAAAGGGCATCGTATTAAATCGTCCCAAAGACAGCACGAAAGCAAAGCTGCACACGTTGAAACATCAATTTTACGATAGAAAAACCTGACAAACGCCTTTAGTTTTCCCATAGCAGGTGGAATACATTTGAATTCACGCCATTTCACAGAGCATCTACACTAGACACATTAGTAGAAGGGTAAAAAAAATGAGTAAAGAGATCTGGTCAAGTGTTCAATCAATAGAATATGATCATATGAATTGGTATCAAAAGGGCAGAAGTACATATCGAGAATTGATACTTGACATTGACTATGGGTCAAGTAGGCAACGAAAAACGCGACAGCAGTAGAGTGGAAGAGCAGCAGGAGGTGGATCATCACGATCGAGCAATGAGAAACACTGCTCGGAGGCTGAGGCTTCTCGTGCCTGATCAGCACAATTAATTTCACTGACGCTTACACAAAAACTACGTATGTCTCGAGGCGGAGTACCCAGAGGGACAGGGGTTGAAGAAGAGGGAGAGTGGAAGATATTTTGAGAGGTAGCGAATAACTGCATGATATAGTGGCTAAGTAAGACTCTCAAACTCACTTCCATGAGCAGCTTCAGTTTCTGGTGTCAAGATCACTGCCTGAAGTGTGACAACGGCTGCAGCAAGTAGTTGGAACATCGTCAAAAGTGGTCGACGAGGAGAAACTGCAATGATACGAAGGTGTTATGTAGAAATGATCACCACAGTTTGCTGTCCAAGGAGTGTCAAGTCTTATTCTAGTCTTTTGCACATTGATGACCGGCTTAGAGCCTATCAATTGGATTTATCCATTTGATATTGAGACGTCCTTTCCATACACTCACGCACACATACCCCTCCTTTCCATACAATACTTTCGACTGTGGAAACCTTGACAGACTGAAGATAACGGCAATGCCCGGCAAAAACTGAGCAGTTAAGCCGTTTATCATACTCACAAAGACGCGCTATGCTCCACTGTGTTCCAAAATAAAATCTGTTCAACATTTAAAACAGTACTGCAATCAATAATGACAATAATTTTAATACTTACTATGTAACGACATCATAACTAGTTGAATATAAGGTAGATCATTCGAGTAGTTTGATATGAGGTACTGTAGATGATTTCGATCTTTCGATCGAATACAGTATGCCGCCCAATCGGAAGTGGTCCGTCAGTAATTTATGGCGTGGTAAGTTGCCGAATTTTTGATTTACGACGTGTGGCGGGAGGGGCGGTTAATGGCCTGGTGGTGGCGGAGGCGGAGCTGACGGGTTCGGTGGGAGGGGGGTCGAGTGAGAGAGTGCTGGCCATGAACACGAGGTATTAGAGTCGCAGACGTGACTAGTCAAAAGTCAGTGCTTGGTGGAGGTTATGTATACACATCACCCCCTACCGTCTTGACCAGTAAACATTGCGTTGGGTCGACTGTATGGGGGCATTTTTAGAGGCGAGTTAGCCGACTGAAGAAGTAAACGCTCAAATATGTCCATGCTGAATTGTGTTTAAAAGTTGTGTTTGAAAGCTCATGTCAAAGAGTTTCTATGGATTTCCCTTGGTGAAACAAAAGTCCAGATGGGTAGCTGGCAAGCAGTTGTGAAAACGCGGCTGCAAAGCAGCAGTCCGCGTT